GGAAAAGTGGTGGGGTAAGACCCTTTGTCCAGGGTGGGACACACACACACACACTGCAAACTAGATGCCCGCTCATAGACTGAAAACATCTTCAGGCAATTCTGCCAAATGCTCGCATATTAAATCACATGTAAGTATGACGCAAGTAGCCACATCATGGGAAATGAATGGAAATGAAGCCTGCTGAATCACCCTTGTGACTTGCCTCCCGACATGCCAACAAGCTTGAGTGAACATTGGCTGAATCATTTCCAGGTCTGCAGGGCCTGGCATGTTTCCTGATGACTGGATGTCCATCCTTCCAGAAGATGACTCTTCTTTACAAACGTCCTAAGGCTGCACGTGAAAGGACTGCAAAATCCGAAGGACTGGAGCTCCGAATCAAGGATCAAACAACAATAAAGGAACAGCGTTGAATTCTCTTGGCTTGAGCTTCTCTTGACTTGTGCTTTGGTTTTAGCATGTTTCAGGGCCTATCGCTCACCTACTTGGAGTTGACCTAGAACATACATCAGCCAGCAAACCTGCACCTCCAAGAAACTCACGTTCTTACCCTTGGGGATCCACAGCCAAGCTTGAACCCACTCAAATGCATGTATATAGTATTATATAGTCACATCTCTGAACGTGACCATCAGCACCGGCCCACACCATAGGGTTGATTGCACAGTCGTGAGAAAGAACGGCCACGGTCGTCTTCAATACTGTTCAGCCTCCACATGGAGCCCAGCTACTTCGGGCAAAAGAGTCCATGGAGTCCACTGAAGTGATGCTCTGACAACGGGCCAATTGAATCAGCTGGATTATTCTTAGCTGCCTGTGGATCAAAACCAGGATGCCTTCGTTGACCTACCTGGAAGGTCAAGCTATGTCAAACTACTGCACATGGTGGACCAGGGCTCCAGCTTTTAACCCATCCTCATCTGAATTTGAATCAACTGGGAGAATTGGTGTCTTCTTGTGAAACGTTGGGATAAAGGAGTGGCCTCCTATGAATACCGCTAGCTTGGACCCAGTCAGCTCATCCTATATAGCTGCCTGCTACGATCGTTCTAAAGGACTATGGAGGCCAGTTCTGCTAGGAAGGATTCTTCAAGCAAGCTTCTCCCCTTCACTACTTCCTTGAAGAACCCTCGCTATCCCTAGCTTGCTTGCCTCCTCCAAGTTCTCAACCGGTTTGCAGAAAGATTCATCCAAGGTTCTGTTTTTGCCATTCCTGACTCTCGTGGGCTTGCTTGCGATACAGATCCTAAGCTTTGATGTTGCAAATTCCAGCAACATGCACCAAGAAATGCATCGCATCGCCACCGCCCAACTATGGATTGACCAAGCTGCTGTAGTCACCAAATGAGCTCCACTGAGGAAGGCCCTGACCCTAGAAGTGCAATGTTTGCTAGGGATGCTCAAGAACTCCTTGAAGTTTGACAACTGACAACGCATGATCACCCTTACGCTCAATGGCAACTGGGCCTGAAAAGGCTTGACCTCCATTGATCGTGGCATTCGGATGGTCGGCTTTGGCTGCGCCCAGCTGGGCCTGCACGAGCTATTCCCTCTAAGCGCAGGTCGATCGAATCTTGCTCCCTCCTCCAGCAACATCATTCGCATACGCATCCTTTGCTACCTCCATTGGGGAATAACACCCAAGGAAAAAGGCTTTTCTTCGCGCAGGGTCTTATAACACTATGAGTCTATGTGGATCAGCCGCTGTCGAATTAAAACGCCATAAAACGTCCATGTCACGTGGCCAGTATGGAACAGTAGTCATCACCCTCTTGTAAAATTATACACTTCAACAGCATTGAAGGGAGGAAATGGTGACATATTATACAAGTGTCTTGCAGGATTCTACAGGGAAACGGTTGTCATATTGTCATGTTGGAAGCTTCAAGATCAAAAACTTTGCCCTAGTGGCGTAATCATGTCACCGCAAGTGGCATGGTGGACTTGGCCGCTTAACTCAGGTGAGCCGTTTGCACTTGCACTCACTAAAGGACACCATGAAAAACATCAACATCCAAGTGAGGAGAAACTTCTGAAAGAGTCGGCTGCTCGCCGTTTGCTCTCCAGCAGGCCTGGCATCTGAACCGACGGCGGCTTCCTGGAGATATCACTCGCACAGCTTTTTTCCAGTGGCCATGTAATGGTAATGATTGTCTTGGTCAAAACCACTGATACATACTGAAACAAAGTGACATGCTGCACCGGGAAGCTCCAACACCCATGCAGCAAAATAAAGCCAATCACACTCAATGCTTAGAGCAATCTGAACACATGACATCAAGAAAAGTGTGGCAGCTGATTGACGCTGTTTGATGCAAGGATTCTGTCCTGCTCCTTCCTCCATGGCGGTACTGGTCGTGATGACGGACTGGTCTTTGCCAAGGGCCTTTGGTGGAGTCGATCTGCCAAAACGTCTTGGACTTGCTGTGATGCGCGCTGGTGGCGGTGCTCCTTATGCGGCTATGAATGCAAAGCTTCTTTCCCTTGTGGGTGTTTCACTCTCCTTTCAACAGCTTCTACCAGTACCTGTCATGTATCACCGTTCCTCTTTGCACGATCACATGCGCTTGCCTCCTTGAAATTGAACACACTTGCAGGCAGCCAATCAACTTAACCAGGGACTGGTCTCCCTTCTTAGCCTTTTGTAGACTCCGCCTGGCATGATGCATGGACTTGTGTATGCCCAAGAGTCTTCCCTCTTTGCGGCTTCTGCATTCAGTCGGTCGCGTCTTTCCCAAATGCACTCCGACCCAATGTTGGATCGAGAGATAACCGGAATGGCCTCGTACACAAAATATCCCAACGCCCCCAATTTGCGCAAACGTCTACCAAACGCTCAATGTCACCAACAAATCTTCTAGCTAAAAACGATCGTAATGATGTAGATGCAACATGATAATTACAAGAGTAGCATAGCTCACACGTATCGTTGAGCAAATCTCAGTGGCAGCAGGCTGATAAAGGTGATCTAACTTTGGATCTGCATAGCCCTCTCTGGGGTCAATCCCCAGCGACTTGCTGAATGCCATGGCGGCTCATCACTATGAGCGTCAGAGTTGATGTGTGAGTTGCGGACAAAACCTCCCACTTTTTCAACATGCCACAAATCACAAACTACCATTATTTTGCAGATTCTGGAGGGCGTCAGCAGGCATCAGATCAAGTATTGTGCATCCGGCTGGTCTATTTTGCACGTCTTTGCAGCTGTTCCATTCTGTACCGGTGGTTGCACAAATGGAGCAAGTTGGTTTGTCTCATACTCATGTGACTGTTGCGAAAAGCATTGCTCATAATGAGTCGTTTATCCAGTTGATGGCTTCGATATTTTGGTGCCGCTTGGTTGACCCAAAGCCGCTGCGCTGTGATAAGGACATGCAACAAACTGTGACACACGCAAGCAATGGGATGCACCAGTAAAGTTCCAAAGAATGCACAACAAACCAGTCAGCACTGGAACACAAGCTGCAGGATCTCTTTTTTGAGGCCTTGTGTCACCCTCATTCACGCGTCCGTGTCGAGGAGCAGCACGGGACAAGCCACCGCTTGCCTGGACGGAGCTTCGGATGCCCGGCGATTAACAATGCTCCTAGGACTCCTAGTAGCTTCTTGTTACTAGTAAGAATACTCCTAGTAGCGATGCCAGGAGCCCCTAGTAGCGTCCTTGGTCCTAGTAGTAAGGCCAGGAGCCCCTAGTAGCCTCTTGCTACTATTAGTAAGGCCAGGAGCTAGTATATAGCGTCCCTGCTCCTAGTAGCTTAAGAATGCCTTTGAAGCATCTGCCGGGGCACTACGGAGCGATTTCGTAGGAGCAGAAGCCTCACAGAGAGGCTTCTGTATTATCCGTGGTCTGCTGCCTTTGTCACCAATTGAAGTACAAACTGGCTGAACCTCCTGCTGGGCGGCACGTGCCAATCGTGGAGACCTCAAAGCATTGTTCAGTTTCGACACGGGCTATGGCAAACTTTTCTCCAACCAATCTTGGAGCAACTGCGGCTCAGTTAAGGGGCAATTTCGATACCAAACAACAGTGTAACGGCAGTGTAACGGTGTTCAAATCTTCCACACTGGCCAAAAACCGCTGAGCATCAAGCGGGTGAGGAATGGCCCGTGAAGCTTCCTGAGAATCAACTGAAGTGTTTGGTGCCAGAGTCTCGCACCAAACACTGAAGCGCCCTGCATCCACTGGAACATCTCCGGCTTCGAACCTGTTGCCCGGCGCTGTCGCCCGGCGCTGTCGCCGAGCTTTCGTTTCATAGAACTGAAAGAGGGCATGATGGAGCATGCCTTTCTGCCTACTTCAGCTGAGCTTGATGCTCCAGGTCAATCTGCAACTTCTGGATATCCTTCAAGCAGCATCATCCAGGTATATCCGGGTCCATGTCTTGAGCTTCTCCCATGCTGAGCTTCATGCTGTACTTTCTGTCTTCGTGCAGCTCGTGTCCTCGCACATGTGTGCAGGAAGGGTGCACACTCCACCGGAATCCCCTGCGATGTGATTCAAAGGCTAGCTGCCTACACAAGTCTAGAATAGCAATATTTCTTCGTGAAGTAAGTTGGAAATCGATTTCTGTCGCAACATGTCGCAACTCAACTTTTTCACAATCACTAAGGTGCTGAGGGTGAGACAAAGTCAGTTGGCTCATTCAATTTCGATGCCAGAAGGCTGCGAAGCTACTTGGATCACCTAAACCTCTTGCACTTCTAACTCTAAGACGATCTTGCGCTCTTTCGTGAGCTCGTAGCTGGTTCGTATGCGTTTGTGCGATATGCCCAGATCTCCCAGGATTCGTTTCAGACTTAGCACCCGCCCTTGGGCATAAGCCATCTCCAAGTCCATGACTGCCCAAGGAAAGTCCTCACTGAAATCCTTGCCAAAGGCCGACCTGACAATGTACAAGTCCTTTTCGGCCATTTTGCTCGTCGTGCAGCCTTTGACATGTAGTTTGAGGCCGGGATACTCCTTCATAATGCGGACCACCTCCTCGATAAGCTCAAAGTTTTCGGCAATGTAGGACACGTCCCAGCTTCGTTGGATCTTTTCTTCGATTTCAGCCTTGGGAGCTGCATCACTCCATTGGTCTGCAACAAAGTTGATGCTCTTCTTCTTCAGCAGTTCTTCCAACTCCTCTTTTCCGCTTCTCAACTGTTCTTCTTCTGGGATCGCGGATTTTCTTCGATGGCCACCACAGCAAGCGCAGCAGGAATACACCTCCAATCCAAGGAATGCTATTTTTTTAAAAAAAAAGTCAAATCGGGGCCAGCATGGTAGCCGGTGAGTGGAAATTAGAAGAACCCGAACGCAACCAACAAGTCCTTGAAATCAAGTTTGTCCCTCGACATGATTCACATCACCTTTTCTGTTTGATCTGTGGCCTCCGTGCTGACCCGGAAAAAATCCCCAGCCTCGCAACAGCAAACACACGTCAACACTAGAAGCAACGCCATCATGAAAAGCACCATGGGTCGTCGACATGTTGGTCTTCTCATCAGTGTGGCAATGCAGGTGCCCAAGGGTGCTGGTCGATGTGATTGACCAATCACATACTTGAGCTGATAGGGGGAATTGCCTTTGATCTGGTCGTTGTCGCTCTCGGCGTGCTCAATCTGCTCGGTCGGGACGCCATGTGATTGATCGATCCAAGCACCCAGAGCAATGAAAAGGGACAAACTCACCAAGATCAAAGCACCCCGACCAAAGCTTTTAGCTCTGCTTGGTCCTGGGTCCAAGTTCTCCATTCTGACCCCATGAACTAAAGGTTCCAACTCAGCATCCATGGCTTTGCATGGTGATGTATTTTGAGCCTCTCACTGTGTCAATTTGCAAACGCATGCAAAGGGTTACATCGATTCAAAAGTAATCAAACGATGCGGTTTGCAAGCCAACTTGACCACACCGGCCGAAAGTAAACACAGCACAATGCATCAATGCCATTCGAGCACCAAAACGCATAGCCACACAAACTGCAAGAATCTGCAAGGTGGTTCCTGGTCCATGTAAGATTCCTCTTTGGCAGGAGGCCTCACACAAGTCACCAAATGGCAGTCTTCATCACACTTCCCACTATCGCACTCCTGACACTCCTAGTCGGCAAAGGCCTCTCATCAGTATGCAATGGTGCTTCCGCCTGACCTGGCCGAAATTGATAAAGGTGCTTACATAGTAACTTGTTGTTCATTCCACTTCCACGCAGTTTATTGTAGAGATCCTCGATACTCTGCTTCGCCTTAATCTGGATCCACCGTATGGGATCCAGCAAAAGCGGCCATATTACTACAGTAGAAATACTTACATGTACAGTAAAAAATTACTACAGAATATCTACAGTATGCGTATATATATATATAGCATACAGTATATAACTTTCACATCTACTGTACCGTATATTAATAATTCAATTCCTCTGTGACACCGCGAGCGAGCATCTCTTTCTGCGGCTGGAGCAAGCAGTCCCCAACAACCCAACTGGGTCCGACAGGGCTTCACAATGCGACACCCACCTGAATGACGGCAAAACATCAGTTTTTGTATCTGCAAAACTGTGACCTCCTTAAAGCATCCCATCCCTCAGGCCTCTGACAGGTCATGATGGCGCACAGTGACCTCTCCAAGTTGCTGATGGATCTGCTGCACTTGCCACGCCTGAGGAAAGTTGCAACCGTTGTTCTTGATACACTAGACTCGGAGCATGAATCAAAGGCCTCGACATTGGACACATTGGCAATTTCTTTAACACTTTTTAGCACATATTCACCCAAACCCAATAATAAAGGATGTCATCCATTCGATTGTCTTGGGAACCTGGCCTGCATTCCTTTGCACGTCCTGTTATTAGGCATGTCCCAGCCTCAAGATCCCAAAGTCCTTTACCACCTCGACAGTGGACAGGACGGAGTAGCTCGACTGCTTTTGAAATCACATGGCATATCCTTGGCAGGAATCCAAAGACCCCGTGCATTGCGCTGGTGAAGGTTCCAAAAGCGTGGTGGGCGTGCAGGCTGAAACAAGTCTACGCACCAATGCGAATGGGCATCGGCCCACGCGCCCACACATATGAAGGGCAAGCCTGCAACTTTCAAGCTGGGTCAAAATGGTCTCTCTCTTTTTCTTGTGAACCAACTGCAAGGCAATGTTTGTGAAAACCCGAAGGCCTGTGGCGTGGTGTGACTCTGCACATAGAACAGCCCTGAAGAGGGAGTTGCATTGGACGAACGGGTAAAACTTCTTGGAATGACTTCACAGTAATGTGGCCCTCAGATTTATAAAGACCCCTAGAATTATGTCTTTTTTTTCCCTGCACTGATCTATAAAGGCCCCTAGAATAATGTTTTCTTTTTTGGGATGGGTAGTTGGGAATATTATTTCCTTTTAAGTTAATATTGCCAGAGGTCTTCAAAGTTAGGAATTCTTATTTCCTTTTAATTTAATATTGCCAGAGTAGCTCCAGAGGTAGCTAGCTAAGGATTCCTTATTTAGTTATCAACTGATTGATTTTCTTATACATTATTTTGGAGGCCTTGGCTGTTGAGGGAGGAGGGGGGGGGAGTTTATAAATCAAGGGACTACATTAACAACAAAAGAGGTTCAGTTGCATAACTCTTGATTCGAACCATGACCAACCTTTGGAGAATGTGTGATGAGGTAATGAGAATCCACTAAAGGTCCAATGCTGCATCACATGTACATGTCCTAATATGCATCCGTCTCTTGACTTGCCAATAAACAACAACTACTAGTAGGAAATACGACGAGCGTCACCAGGCCAAAACAATCAGGGTTGGTAGCAGTCTGCATCGGGTGTTTTGCGCACGAACGCAGGATTCGGAACATGAAAGTTAACCCGGCGGCATGGGTAACCGTAGCTCGGCAGCTTCGCGATCGGTTGATTCATGGGTGAGACAAGGCAAATCGAAGCCATAATCCAAGTGAGCAAAAACGCTGAAATGATATGTGACTCACGACGGCTTCAGCGCCCCTTGCGGGGATCACACTGCGCACCCAGGTGGGAAAGCACAGCAATACGCACTTAGTCACAAGTTCATTCAGTACCGGAATCCACGAGGAACTGAACGAGGGAACGGAAAGGTGCAACGTCAGCGCAACTGAAGTGTTCAAGAAAGTTTCACGTGACTGCAAAACGCGGCGGTGGCAAGCAGCTGGAAAAGTGGTGGGAAAGGTTTTGGGGTCTACCATGAGAACAACCATGGCAGCAAAACAAAGCGGCGGAGGAGTGGAGTGTTGTCATCAGCAGGTACGTCAGCTCCGCGTCCGGAGCTGATATCCTCACCATGTGTTGCCAGCTTCGTTGATGGAGAAGCAATAATACAGGTGTCTCCATCCATCCCAAAGCACCGAACAGGTGCCAAAATGCTGCCGTGAGCTAGGACAACCAAAACATCCAAGCTGGTTTGGAGGAGCCAGCCAAGCATTGAAAGGCTGTGAGACAAGTGAAAGAAAATCTCCATGCCGAGGGTTGCATTCCCGCATGCTGGCACTGAAAGCTCATGCGAAGCGACCACATTCTGGGATCGGACGTCTGAACTTAGCAAATGCAGCAGGTGAGTGTTGGGTTTCTTGTACTTGTGCCACGTTCACTCAGTGGTTCAATAGTTTAGACAGCTGTGGTGAGTATGATGTCAGATCAGTACACGCATAGCTCGACCATCTGGACCCGAAGAACCAAAGCAGAGAGAGAGAGAGAGAGATCTCAAGTGATCGAACTAGACCCTAGCAACACTGCCACAACCCTAGTGTCCGAAGCAAAGCACACAACTCTTGCAAACGACCAAGTGGTAGCACAACAACTGTGGCAATCCCTCTACTATCCCCTACTGGCTAGCTTGGCTACTCGACACAAGAAGACAACACTGCTGGCGTTCGCATGTGAACGTATTGGCGGATCTGCTAGATTGCTACAGTATCAATCCTTTTGACTGATCTAACAGCATCCCTTGCCAAGTCTCCCAGGATTGCGCTGTGAGGAAGTGTCTCCTCTGCAGGCGCCGTGGGCCAAACTGCTCTGATCCTTTCAGCACGCTCTTCGTTGATCTGCTGTGCACCGGCATGTATTGCATACCACCCCACTGGGATCCTGGTCCAAAATTCGTTCAATTGCTTCATGAAGCGCAAAACAAAGACACGAGAACAAGCGACCTCAATTTGGATGCTTTGGGGATCTTTTGGAGATCCTCGGAGCCACAATTACTCGGTCTCTCCTCCAGGCACGGTTTTCAATCCTTGGTCATCTCAAAGCCAACAAATGCCTTAGCCCTGACCCAACTGATTTGACATATATTTGACGGAAATAACTTCATATGAATCACTGATTCGGCTCAGCGTCAGCTTTTTTCCGCGGAGGATCGCCAGTACTTGTTGTGCTCCCTGCAGTGTTAGTGCCCGCCGTGCCAATAGCAGTTCTGGGTCCTCGAGGCGAACAGGGAAATTGTAGTCATTGCGATGCTTGTGTAAAGCATGCATGGATGCGTACAGATCGTCAGGGCACAAGTTCTTGATACATCTTTTAAGACCAATTCATCCTTCTAGTATTGGCCAAGGAACTTTGGAAAATCATGGAAAATCACAAAATCCCGAAACGTCTACTTTTGCTTCCGCTTAGCAATGCAGCTTCTCAAGGCTGCATGCATGCAGGTGTGGACGCATACTCTTCAACTGGAGTTGCCATGAATACAGATACGGTGATACAGTATAGTTTGCATAAGAGCTTTCCTATGTTTGGTGCATTGTTTGTATAGTTGCAATATGTTGAGTTGTCATTTACCCAGCAACCCCTTTTGATTCCTAAGTGTTCCCGGACAACAGGTTTGCAGCTCAAAAAAGCATTGCTTGAAGGTACTACCACGATATCAACGAAGCCCGTCAAGTAGGAAAACATAGTCTTTTCCAAAGAAAACTCACCGCGACGCAAAGGTATCATGAATCCCCTGCCCTTTGCTGCTAACTGGTAAGAAATTGCTAAGCCACACTCTCCTCTCTTGCAGGACGTTGCTCCAGTTTACTTGGTGGTGGAGCTGGAGCTGGTGGCACTCCACTATCGACCACAGTTCCTTTGCATGCGATTGGGAGTGAGCATGTGATACAACATGTCCTAATACCTGTAGCAGCGGATGATGATGGTTAGTAAAGGCCTTTTTGAAAAAATAAGAAAATCGTGATAATTGTTGACTGACTGTTACAGGTAAAGGACAAACCCAAAACATATTCAAATCATTCATGGAAGCTCATTCTGCAGCTGAATCTCGTTTCGGTAGCGAGTAGAACGATACTCCTGACTGGCATCCCTCATGCAAGACCACTTTGGCCAGCGGCTTGTAAATGTAGTCCTCAAGCTCTGACAAGCTCCTGTCGCGCCGGAAAACACCAGTCTCTGCATGGAGTTCGATGTGTTGCCCTGCCTGGCATCTGTCCACTTGGCAGCTTTGTACCAAGATTGTTGTGCCTAAGTGAGATCCAAAAAAGAGAGCAAAAGACAGGTTGATACAATGAAAGTGAATGCATGGCTTGGCATGCGTGGAGAAGCACACAGAGTTGAATTGCAGCTCTTTCAGCCGTAGTGCTATGGGCTCCTCAAACAGGATCTGCTTGTCCGATGCCCTGGCTGTGGCCAGTACATCCAATACTCGATCCACGACTAGTCTTTAGTCTGTCGCAGAAAACCCCCCCGCCTGTCTTGCCTGGAAAGGCTTCCAAAGCCGCAGGTATCCCATGTAGACCAAGACACTTCCAAAGGAATGCACTCCCTCATGCCAGGCTGTTTCCTAAGTCGGGCGTGTTTTCCCAGATTGATGGTTGATGAGGCAAGTCTAGTTAGTAACCAAGCTTCACTCTCAGCGTGTGAGGGATGCAGTCTTGCCTCAAAAGTGCAGGCACACCCGCAATGGGAAATCATTGTTTTGTTTGTCCCGTGCGAACGAGCTGCTCGTTGACAAACAAAATGATCGAGATTCGCTGCTTTCTTGACCCTGTCCCTTCAAGCCCAGCTGGTGCTGCGGGAACCGCATGCTTGAAGAAATTGTTGAACGGCCTCCGCAGTGGTATTGATTCGAGGCAAGTGGGTGCCGAAACCAGCCCCTTTCTCAACAACCTGGACTGACTGACTCTGACTGAGCCCAAAATGCTTTGTCGCCACCAAGTCACTCATCAAACGCGAACACGTCGCCATTTTCTTGCCACACGTAATGCTCACCTTGCACAGGAAACATCTCCTGAAAAAACAATGGCCTGAAAATACAGAACTGATCAGAACTGCTTTCCAAGTGTCTCTTCGTCTTCGCGTTCTGGAAGGCGAGAGCACGAGTGGCTCCCAAGCTGATTCCAATTGTCGCCGTCGGCCTTTCAGAGTTGATGAACCTTGAAGCCTTTCTGACTGCATTAAAGGTTCTTTCCGCTCCAAGGCGCCAAGTAGCGTCCTTGCTCCTAGTAGCGAAGCTCTTTGTTACTAGTAGCGATGCCCTTAACAATATAATTAGACGCCCGCCTTGGCGTCCAGTCTTGGTAGTTGTCGTGGTGCCAAGATTTCACATCGTCAAGCGAACGGTAAAGGTTGGCCCAGCAGTCTACCAGGGTCAAGTCAAACATGGCTAAGGCTTTCGTTATCCTCGGATTGTCTCCAGTTGGCCCTCTTTCCTCGCTTGCAGGTTTGGGATGCTGTACCCGATTCCGGCTTCAAGCACTGATATTTTTGTATATAATACATATATACACTATTTGCTATGAATCTTTGGACACCAACCATTAGAGCTTGAAGAATACTGTAGGGACATCGGCAAGTTGACAACCCTTTTCGCTTCCAAGGCCCAAGTTTCACTTGTGCAAACGGCACAGATCCCGACCTCAGCGACCAAGCGCACGTCGCACACGGAGACAGTCAGGCAATCAGGCAGGCAACTCTTTCACTATCTAACATGGATTTGTTGTATCTTTGGGATCTCTATTCAGCTCGCTTCTTCTTCTGTGACACAAGGCCATACCTACGCCCAGCTTTTCAGGCCAGGATCCTCAAACAAGTCTCTTCCAGCTTTGGAAACTGCCAGGCCATGGTGGCTTGAGATGGGACGTAGGAACATGTGTGGCATGTTCGGTTCACTTGTCACTGAAAAATGCCGTATCAAACGTATCATGGCGAGAACGTGTAGCATCTAGAATGAGATGAGATGAGATGTGCATTATCCTGTTTTTCCGGGGACTTACAGCAAGTCCGGGGATCGACTAGCTACGGCTTGCCAGGTCACAATGCATCACCCCAAATTTGCAAGTGCTTGCGACTCCTGGCGGTAGTAACAAGAAGCTACTAGGAACGAAGGGCATCGTTACTAGGAGCAAGAAGCTACTAGGTGGAGGCCATCGTTATTAGGGTGGAGGCCATTACTACTAGGGCATCGCTACTAGGAGCGATCGGCCGCTACTCAGGAAGACCTGACTGGGTGTGTGGGAGTCCGTGGGCCACCTGTGAGGTCCAAGAGCATCCCCTCTTTCTCGGTAACCCGCATCCTGGCGGCCAAAGGTGGATCGAGATTTCGGCAAATGTGACACACACACACACAAACACGTGAACTCTGCTTCACTTCATTGTCAATCTAGTTTTCGAGTGTTTGAGGTTGAAGCAGCTGATACCTACGATATCTGAAACCCAGGTGCCCTCCTGCTTCACAACAGAATGCAACAACAAAAGGCACATCTGACATTTGTGAGCTGCTGAGCTGCCTCTATATCAATAGCAAGTGCATCGAACAGCGTGAAATCGTCTTTTGCACCTGGTGACCACAAAGCATGAACAAAGTACCACCACACCCCTTGCTTGCCCTTACTGCTACTGTTTTTTGACCTCCCAAAAGCCGAAAACCCCAACTTCTCTGGTAGCTCCGAGCCTCTAGACAATACACACAAGCTGAGTGCCACACACACAGCTTCAGGCATATGCAAACAACTTCCAGCTTCTTGAAGCTCCAAAGGCGTCTCCGAAAGGCATCCACGTTGCCGTGCCCTGGATTGCATGCAAAAGAAGAAGCTTGAAGATCTCCGATTGATCTCCGATTGCTCTTGGTAGCAATGTGTTGCATGCAATTAATGTACACTGACTCTGATTGGTCCTTAACTATGCTACACCATCTCCACAAGCCAGCGTCTATTCCGTACTTCTGCCCTACATTGAATCTACCTCGCCTTGCAATGGCTCCTTCGCGATCCAAATGGGTAGTTGGTGGAACGTGTGCTCCAAGGGGTCTGTACAGAGCCATGGCATGGGCTGTACGAGAGGCAAGGGAAAGGGAATGTTAACGGACTATCTTACGACTCCTCACAGGCTGAATCTGACCCGTCAATTGCATTTATGGGCTGAAAACGTCGCACTTTTTGAAAAAAAAAGGAACATCCAAGTGATTCAAAAAGTTCTTCCTTGGAACGAAGAGAGGGTTCCTATATAGGTCATCAAAATTTTGCAGCTTGGCAACTAGGTACATATATTCATATAGTTATATATTATATATAACTACTATATATTACTACATAATGGCTCCGTGTGATCCACCAAACAAAGTGTGGCTCAACGCCTGCGGCTTGCATCTGAGCAGCGTGCAAGCAAAAGTCATGGAACATCCAATCAGACACAAAGACGTCAAAAAAAGACAATAGTTTTTCCCAAAGAGCGCCTCACAAATCAGAACTATCCATCCCGGTCTCTGATGAGACAGCGCGAGAATCAACTTCACAGGTGGTCATGTGACCAAAAACAACGTACCGCCAAGCATCAGGATTTGAACCGTATAAGATCCTATAAAATCCTATAAGGCCCAGCAGTTCCCAGAGGCCTGAGACAGGAGAAGTGATTTGTCAGGCAGGGCAGCCTTCGGTGCCGCTGCACTGGTCAGGTTGGAACATCAAAGGGTAGCCTCGCTGATCGGCTCCTTGAGCACATGTTCGAGACTATCCACGTTGCCTTTGCCCGAGGGGTCTGCTTTGCCACTCCTGACTGGTCTCACGGAGTCGGTTTTGGCACTTGCATCATCGATCATGGGTGCCAGGCGTCCAGTCATCACTTGGATTTCGGTGCCTTGGATGCTTTCACTTCCATGTGAGGTGAACTTTAGTGCCAAAACGTTGAAGAGCCTGGCATAAGCAGCTCGCACACCTTCAAAGTCCGTGTCAAAACCATCGAGTGTCTTCTCGGAGAAGATCTTGCCATCTGCCAGATTCTCCCAGAAAGTGGGGTCCGGATAGATGAAGGACTCATCTGCCTTGATGGGAACGAAGTTGGCCCGAGCTCCTTCAGGGCAGGCTGCCACCGTCCCGGCGAAGGTGGGCTCGTGAAGGACTCCCTGGGTCAAAATCACCAAAATGACTTTTGCACTTCCCATCCTCAGATTTGTCACGAGCAGCGATGCTTTGCTTTTGGCCTTTAAAAAGGACAAGAGCAATTGGAAAACACAGTTTCTCAAGCGCAAATCCAAGCATCTGCGTAGCAGCAGCATCCAAGTCCTTGATGGCTTCAGTAGGGTCCACCACGTGCACCGGCTCCTGAAGCTTGGATTGTAAGAGTGATTGAATCACTCGGCAGCAGCTACCTGCTTCAGGTGTAACCAGGTCACCCAGCATCAACAAGGTGCTGGTGGAGAGACCGGAATCGGCTCGCTTCAGTCCCATCGCCAATCTGGAAAGCATGTTGGTGGACAAGCCCTTGCATTGAGCGATTACGTCCTTTGCCACCTTCTGGTGCAACTCCCCGTTGGCCCCTTTGCGATCAAGCTTGAGGGACTCGCGCGACAAGAGCCCTTGGTAGGAGTCCAAAATCATAGTCATGGAAACCCCTGCATTCATCAAAGTTGATTGCTGCTCCTCTGTCCACAAGCTTGGAACTGACTCAATGAGCTCCTGACAAAGCAGTTTTGAGATTTTGGATTGCAAAACAACAGCAATCAACAGCATACATGGACGCATCTACTTTGCTACGGAAAGAGTTTCCCCACACAGCGGTCCTGAGAAAGACCATTTCCATCGCAGCTGACCAGAACAATGTTGGTTTTGGCCGCCCATGCGCTGGCGATCTCTGCAGCACACCACATGCGCTTCAGGGTCTCCTGGGTTATCAAAACGACCACATTCTCGCAATCCCAGGCGGTGACGTCGATAATCGCATCCAACTTGCTCACATCATCTGAGTCCAGGAAAATCTTACTGGTCGTGTGCTCACCCAAAAGCATCTTAAACCACCGCGATAGAACAGCGGCACCAAGTTTATGGTGGCTGAGGAAGATGCCGTAGGTGCGAGATGGCCGGTAGGTGCGGTATGCAGCAAACGAAAATGCCACGACCAAGCCAACAAAGGCCACGACCGTGCCAATCATCAAAATGACGGAGACGACGGTCGTCCCCCTCTCAGGGTCAAACTCCAACAGCAAACTGCCAACCACGATCACAAGCATCAAGAACAATGCCAGGCATGCATCCATCAAGTTTGAGATCAAAGTACGCCAAGGCCACATTCGTGCTTGAAGAAGGGCATAGACTGCAATAACCAACGTAAGCGACAGGAATTGGAGCTCGTTGTATGCAACCAGCAAGACTGGTAAGATACCAATGAGAAAGTTTCGGAAGTTGAGAACCAGTGCGAAGTAGTAGGCATCTGGTGAAAAGCGGCTGAATATAAACTTGTACCGCTTCACAAATTTCACCCCGTTCGGACTGGAGACCTTGACAGGATATTGGATCACAGCCCAAATCACCAATGCCATAAAGGTGCAAACACCTCCAAAGAAGGGCAAAAAGGAAAGTGCCACCATCCAAGAATGCCCGGCATCACGCCAGCAAATCACATTACGATAGGCCGTCATGGAGGAGGTGCCATCAGGGTTTCCCACACATTGGAATGGTCTCACAGCCAGCGATGTGAGGGCGATGTACACGGCCGAAACGATCAAACCTTGCGCGTTGACCACCTCGTTGAGGGTAATGTTCTTCTTCAGCACATACTTCCCGAAAGCGAAACAAAGCATGATTCCTGTTGCCGCAATGGGGTACATCAACAGCGAGCCAAGGTAGTTCAACAAGGGGTTCATCGTCCCCAGGAAGCAGCCAGGCCGAAGGATGCTGATGTCGAAAATGAGGAATGAGAAAATACCCCGAAGTGTCTGCAAAGGCTCCACCCACTGCACCTCCACCTTGCTAAATGCTGAAAGGGCTTGCAAAGTTGCAAGGACCAATCCCGCTCCGATCGTCACCGTCATCATGGAGTCCCTGTGAGGCTTGTCCATTTTGGTGGCAAACTTGTAGAGGCCGACGAGAGCGACGAGGAATAGAGCCAACGCTGCAAGAAGGGGCCCCAGCGCAAAGCCTGCATCAGCACAAGAATAGCACAGCCCATTGTCAGAATAGTGGTCAGCAGCACAGTCTACACAGGCTATGCCAACATTGTTTCCCGGACAGTCCCCCAAAGCAAGATCACCTGGACATGTGTTGGTGCTGCCGCATTCGACAATGTAGCTTGGATCTCCACCGTTGTATGCCGGAGCACCTGCGGCATACATTTGAGCTTGCAAGGGTGCTTGGTGGTTGGGCACACTGCCATTGTTGCCAGCACTCTCGCGACCTCCCAGGCAAACCAAACCCAAGCCACATTCCTTGCAGAATGCAACCGAGCTTGCTGGGTCTGGCCTGTGCCAAAAGGTCTTGGCTGGGCAAACACACTCATGGCTGTAGCGAGAGTTCGGGTACAAAGTGGTACTTCCTGGAATCACCTGCTCGCAGCCCAAGCAAGGCAAAACCGTGCCGACGGGGGTTACATCCGCAGGATCTTTGTAGGCTCCCACATCGCAAAAGCAGAAGGTCTGACCAAGATCAGACTGCGAGCTTTTGCTTGGACATGCCTTGCAAGTCTCCAAACCCGTGACATCTGCGTAGGTCTGAGCAGCGCACAGGATACATCCGCCAATGCTGTTTGCAGCGCGCGAGGTGCCCAAAGGGCATGCATTGCAAACACCCCGATCGGAGTTTCCATTCTGGTACCTTCCCGCAGGACAAGCAGGGCATTCCAAAAGCCCAGTTTGCCCCGGCAAAGTTCCATAGCCTTCCGGGCAAAGGTCACACTCTGAAAAGTTGAGCCCCATGCTCAATGTAGACCTCGCGCGGCCCTCAGGACAAGCCACGCACTCAGTAGGCACAGGAAGCAAGCCAGTAGCATAGGTGCCTGCTGGGCAGCCAATACGAGCATCCCAACTGGGACTAGGAAAACGGAACTGCGTGGCAGCAGCTTCAGCAGGCAAGACTGGCCTCAGGAGGGTTGTTGTGGTGCCCCCGCTACACCATACTACACTACTCCCTCAGCTCGTCTCAGGCCCAAAACACTTAGTGGCAATAATTGAATATGCATTCATAACAATTTCACCCACCCATCACCTTGTGTTTCCATCTTCAAGGACCTGCCAATTCACACTCATGCGGCCATTGTTCTGGTTGAAGCGGTTGAAGCGGACCATGCCGAACAAGGTCTCATCGTTCAGGGTGCCGACAGAGACACGGACCTCCTCACGTCTTTGAGCCGTGCTCAAACCAACCAAGGACTGGCCATACTTCTGCAAGCCGAAGCTCAGGGAGATGCCTGCAAACGAAAGCTCTAGAATCAGTGCTTCAAGAGTGGCAGGGGGTGCAAAGTTCAATATGGTTCAATGTGTTATCTGCACTGTACCTTATTTGTTTAGGTACAGGTAGGGAATGGCCCCTACAGCAGTAAGGTGCAATGTGGTGGGTGGTGCGGTGCACGATGTAAGCAAGTTGGGATGTTCAACGCCTGTCAGCCGAGACCTGACACATTGTAAGAGCGATGGCCTCCAACCTAAGAGCGATGGCCTCCAACCTACAAGTGTCAACAAATGTCCGAGGAAAGGACAATGCTCTGCACCCCTGCTGGCTGGTTGGTGTCGGGTGGGCTGGTCGGGCCACTTCAAGGTCATAAAACAAGCAGTCAGCAGAAAAACAACAAGGACAACTGCGGTCCAGTGCAATGATGTTTGGTGCTTTTTTTTCTAGCTTACCTTGAACTTGCACTAGTGCTTATAACCTTCTGCTAAATGTGCAGTGGATGAGCTCAAGCCTTTCCTGAGTTAGCGCAGCTAGCTCATGATGACCCGACACTGTGATGAGGCAGCTGACTGCCAAGTTGTGTTGTTACAAGTGAGTGGCCGACAACTACCACTAAACGCACCTGTTTTGCCTTGAGCCAAAGTAGCACGAGTGAGACGTAGAATACATAACACTAGCGTGAAACAACATCCCCCGCTGAACGAAAATGGGGAGGAGTGAAGACTATGGCAACCGGTCCCCCGGTACGTGCGATACGGACGAAACCGGTTCCTGCCTTTGAGATGGAGAGGATAGTTGACCTCAATGGCAGAAGAATCACTGACATGTTGATGCTAGTGTTCACTCGTACTGCAAAGCTATATACACAACGAAGTCCGCTCAAGAAGAAACAGCACGATCTTTTGACGCATTGGCGGTAAGTGCACGATTGGCCTTACAGAAAGCAGGAGTATCACCGGTCGGCACACGCTCCCGCGTGGCGAATCAGCACTACAAAAGTATGTGCGTCTCTTGACCTTGCAATGTGACAGGTACTTCGACCTTCGACATTCGAATTAAATCTTGCTGGCGCAATAGCGAAGTTCGGCATCCGGTCCCCCGGTGCAACACAGAAGCGATCATCAAGGGCAACCGCTCCCGCGGTGCGATGGAGGAAGAACAGCCTCACAGTTGAGAGCCATGCTGCCTTTTGGACGTTTTCTTTTTGTTTGGTTTTTGGCTTTGGTTCCAAAGGCAACGACTCCCGTCGTGCGAATGTTCCTACCAGTTGCGTGAGCTCCACCAGTCACGGTTCCAGCGATCGTCACGCTGCCATTGGCTTGAGCGGTTCTGCCACCATCCTTGATTCCAATCTCCGCCGCGATTCCATGATGAGGACGATGATGACCATTGAGACTGGTGCCAATCTTGGTGAGCTCGGGCCTGATCGTGCGCGGCCCTCGCCAGGGCTTTTGCTGATGCAGAGCCTGCTTTCGCTCGAGGCACGACCATAGTCCTAGTCTCTTTGCCAAGCTGCAAGTCGACGTTCGGAATGAAGGCGATGTCCTCTGCGATGAAGTCGAGCAGAAGCTGGAGAAGCTCATCGGGATCCTGTTCATCAGTCTTCCACTCGGAGTGGAATCCCAATATTGGTGGGCGCTTTGCATTCTGAGCGTAACTTGCTGCAAAGACCTCAGGGCGGTAGAGCCTATTCTTCCAGTAAACCAGGAAGTCCTCGCTCATGTCTGCCTCTCCCACCTTCTCAGGATCGTTGATGTAAATCAACTTCCCAGCATAGCGATGGCCGACACCTTGCATGATCATCTGGTGCGTTCTTGGTGGGTCCGGGATGACCGCGTTCGCCAATTTCTCCAAGAAGCTAATGCAAAGTGGTGACAGATCTTGTGCCGCGCAGTTGAAGGCATACAGAGGATCTGTCAGTTGCCTTTGCGAGATGGTCATGCCCATCTTGTCTGCTTTGTTCACATGGCTGCGAGCATTTGACTTCAGGATGTTGATACCTGATCGCGCAGCTCGTGGATCATGGCCATGCGTCCCCGCAGGCGTGTTGCGAATGCCGGTTCCCTGCAGCCGGTCTTCTTGGACCATGTCAAGCGAGAGTTCAACGCCCATCTCTGAGGCGATTTCCTCCATTTGTAGAGTTTCCAAATGGTCTTAACAGAATACGGATGTATACCGGTAAGCGCTAAAAAAGAAAAGATGCGCGGCAAAGATACTATCCAGCCACACGCGGCGCGCAAAACTTACTGAGGGCATGGAAAGTGACGAGAAAGCTGGTCCAAATGGAGGCTCCATTCGGATGACCTGGGCGGCCTTGCAGAGGTCCGACGCGGTGTTCAAAAAGGCACCGCACTTGCCACAACACATAGGTGGAGTTCACAAGTGGGACAGTGCCCTTCAGGCATTTGAATCCCCTCCACCACAAGCCACTGTGTCTTGCCATAACCCTCTTTCGCTGGATCACAGGCTCGAAAGTCGAACCTTGGCCGGTTGTAGTTCGGCAGCATATCCGTATAGGGCTGATGCTATTGCGATTTGCCCGGAAATTTGGCCGCCGAGTAACAAATATGGTCTCAAGCACCTTGAGATCCGGCAGGTTCTTTCCAGCCTTCATCTGATCCTTGACACCCTCAACCAGGTACTGACTGCCGAAGATAAAGGGGTGAAATGTGGTCACCTTGCCACACCACCGATCGTAATCATCGAGGACATCTTTGGTGGAAGATTCCAACCCCGATGTGATCAGCTCTTCATCTCCGGCAAGCGGTCCCCCGCTGCGTGCTTCATGGAATGCCTTCCTCTTCCCCTGGAAGCTTGCACGGTAATGGGCATACACGTGATTAGCGTACAAGTAGCACGCATTGGACATGTCATACACAAACATGACATAGCGACATGAGATCCAATCAGGGCAAAGGATGGTACCGGCCGTCGTTTCCACTAGGCGATGTCCATGGACTGCCATCATATGCAAGTCAAGAGCAATGCAGACGGGCCGAGTTGATGCCATAGCTGCATAGTCTGTCGTGCTGATGCTCCATGGGTCCTCCTTGGTGAGAAACGTGTACATGTCTCCGGTCCTGTTGCCCCCAGGAATCAATCCGATGTTGATAATGTCCTGAATGGAGATGGGTGTAATGGTAGAGGATGGTCGGCTGAATGTCCTCAACACGTCCGTGGGCGTTCACTGGCGCACGAGGGAATTTGCCGCTGTTGTACTCGGCAACGCCATACTCCGGGTCGAGCACAATGAAGCGCTCGCTCCGGCAATGCCTCTTCCACATTCTGGTAGGACCTGTCGTTGTGAGACGAAGTGGCGTGTATTGTCTCTTTCCCCCGACCAAAGTCCCCTTTGGCGCCACCTTGGTTTCCATCATGAACCTGTGGTTGCTCGTGAGGACAACACCAACATGTCATCGACGGTCAATGACTGCATGTACTTCTTCTTGATGTACATGTAAGACATGGTTGAACTCCATCCAAAGACCCTTCTGAAATGCCGGTGGTGGGAAGCGGTTCCGCTTGTTGGTGCGCTCCCATCCCCGTAGCAAGCCAGAAATGCGGCGTGACAGCCACACTTGGTCAGAGTTGAGGCGTTCCAATTTGGAGGCTCCGGGCACGGCCCTGGACTGAAGTGCCACCACCTGGTTCTCGGAAAGCGGTGAAGTGGCCCCCTTTGGCATGGGTGGTGCCTTCGGCTGTACCTTAGGCATCATCTTTGGCTGGACTGCAGGTTTCTCCGTGACAGACGTAGTTTGATCGGCCACGGCTCCCGCCGGGCGTTCCTTCGGTTTTGGCTGAGGCTTCGGTGCATGCTTTTCAACAGCAACGGCCTCGGCTCCCGCCGGGCGTGCGTCCGACGACGACGCAGTCTCTTCTGAGGACATCTTAGAAGCCTTGAACTTGGGCTCTTGCGATGGCTCTTCAACATTTCTTTTGGCTGGTGGGCCATCAGCTGAACGAATCTTGGTCCCCTTCTTCTCCTTTGAACCTGGATCAGCTCCTCCACGGAATTCAGTGACTTGCTTGAATTTCCTGAGGGCCTCACCCTCGAGCTCTGGGATCGCGTCCTCATCAGTGTAGATTCGGACGATATCTGGCTCTTCTGGATTGAGGCGTAGCTGATACAATACCCCTTGCACTTTGAAACCTTCATCTCGCATTGAATCAGGCAGGTGCGTGAGGATAGGTTTGTCAAACAGGATCTCTTCGTAGGGGTCCTCGTCGTCATCTGGCTGGTCGACATTCTCATGTCCTCTAAGTTCCGCAGCAGCGATGTGCGGTTCAAGTAACTCCAAGATTTGCTCCTCATCACCAAGAGGATCAATCATCACCAGAAGTTCGTCTTCCTCGGTGAGCTCTGGTGGCACGGTCTCTTTGTCACCATCGGCCGGAATGGGCACATTCGCAGTGACAAATTCCATACCAGCTGCAGAGGCTGGAGCCTGATTGTTTTGATCGCGGCCGTCCGTCCCCGGAGGCGTGGTCGTAGATGGATCAACGGTCTCATCGATCTCGACGACCTGAGGTTCATCCACTTCCATCTTGTCATCCTCCTTTGGCTTGGACGACGATTCAGGAACACCCAAATCTGCGTCAGTCGGAATCAACCATTGGCCCGCGGTCCCCCGCTGCTGATACGCCCTCACGTTGAATGGCAACTTCCGTGCGGCTTCAATCTCCTCTTGGGCGGCGTCTACCCACTCGCCCCAATCATCGAGGTGTGCAATTTCCTCAAACTCAGTCAGCGTGACTTTCTTGCCAGTGCCAGTGATGGCAGTCTGGCGCATCTCTCCGGGGTACGGCTCGTACCAGTCACCAAGACACAGATAGCCCTCATCGAACCGTTTGTTCCACACCCGCTCCCTCATCAATGCCTTTCGCGTCTTGTTTCCTCTCTGTTTGGCAAAAAGATTTGCGTCTTTGCGGAGGATGTCTACACCGGACAAAACCCAGTAGTAGTACGCGAACAAGGCAACAGAGGCATAGTAGCGGACAAACAGATCACGGTTGGCATCT